AGCAAAACAACATCAAATAGTAAAACACTAAAAACACATCGGACTAAGCTAAACATTAAAAGCAAAACAAGTAATGAATACACTCATCTGTTTTTAACATCAAGTGGTTCCCAATTTGGGGCCTGAGGACCAGCAGGCAAAAGGGGGGAATAGAATCTGTAGTGAAGTTTTTATTATTATTATTATTATTATTATTATTATTAATTTATTAAAAATCTTCACATTATAGTGCATGTTCATGTAGGTGTCCTTATTTTTGTTAGTGGGGTTGAGGGTCTGTGAAGAAATCAGATCCCCTGTCCCAGCAGGGAACCATTTTATACAAAAAAACTCAATAGTTAGACTAAATCCTGAATCTGCATGCACACAGTAACTCATTGTCTGCACATGCGATGTTCGTGGGCTGCAGTGATGAACAGATCAGTTGGAGAGCAATAATACCGCCTCTGTAATTTAACAATAACGCAACTTTTTATTACCTCAGTGCTGTGTCTATCCTCAGAGAGCAAGAAGAGACATCTTGACTGGGATCTTTTGTGTTTTGTGTGATAGTTTGGGAATGTTGGTTTATAAAATGTAGCTGACAGTCAGAACCCTAAATGTGCTCAATCACAGTGAGTACAATGCAACTGCAGCCTCAGACGCAGCGGTGGTAAAATGATGAGGGAATGAGCGACTTTGCTAAAATGTTGGACCACACATCTTGTCCAGTGGCCATTTTGACATGAAACAGCAGGGTAAACGCAGGTGTTACCAAAGACACAAACTAAGGCTCCGTTCCATTTAGTGTAGCAGAGCCTTTCCAGTGAGTCAGCATGCACAGCAGCAGCACCCTGACTCTGTTTGACCTGAATGGAACAGAACTTTAATCATTGGGTAACACCTGTGGCTGCTGTGAAAAAGGTCTGGACAAGATGTATAGTTCCAGCAAAGTTGCTCATTCGCTTAGCCAGGCCCCTTATTTCCAGTCGTTATGCTAAGCTAAGCTAGACAGATGTGACAGTGGGATCAACCTCTTGTAACCATCGGCAAGTTCATTAGCAACACCCGTGTTTACCCTACTGTTTAATCTCAAAAATGTCTGCTGTGAAAAAAGTCT